ATTTAATAGAGAAGAAGCTTCTTGACAGTCTAAATAGTAGATTTGAGAGAGAGGAAGAGAGAGTAGAAATAGCTAAATCAGACAAGAATTTAAAAAAAAGAAAAGTACATGGAATTGATAGTGGGCTCAATGTTGAAAAGTTTAGAGTACAAGAAAAAACTGAAGAAAAATAGTATGATACCATCTATTCTTTGTAAAATATAAACTTTATTTACATTCTTGTAATATCCAATTATAATACACTTTTTCGTGGAAATTCAAGATCTAATCAATTAACTTGATGCAAGTTTCAAGATTTCGTTTAATCAAAAATATAGTAAGTAAGCTTAACTTGTTTATTGTGTTGAAGTTTAATAAACTTACTTTAAGCTTAAATGTAAGCTGAAGTCTTATTAGCTTACTCAAATCATTCAAGAACCTTTGTTTTGAATAAAAAAATGTTGATCGCAGCGTGAAATAAGAAGACTATCCTTTATTGATGTTTTGTTTACATACCTTTCTTCTTATTTCCTGTTAAATGAATAGATTCAAGTGATGCAAATTTCACAAATTAACATAAAATACAAACATTCAATCAAAGACCATGAGAGAGGTACAGCCAAGATTCCCAATAATTCATATTTTTACATTTGCGGCAAATAGATAATTCGTTTGCTAGATTTTGAATATGACCATCTGATGTACTTATTCCATACTTTACATAACTCTTACATGGTATGGAGTTAACGAATCCATGTGGTGAGTAAGGGTGGCCATATACGACAATTCCTGCATAGGCTTTACCTTCATTTTTTTTAAAAATCCATTTACAAATTATTTCATTAAGGACTCTTAGGGTCAATTTAAAAATTTCTGTCAAGCAGCCTTATCCATTGAAAAAGAAAAGAATATTGCGGTGCAGTGCACAATTAGAAATTGAACTGTAAACAAAACTAAGGTATTCTACGGTGTTAAATTTATCTTTTTACACAACTGTTACTTTAGAAACACCGACGCAGCTCACACTAGTTTACCGCTAGTTCCCACCATTTTACTTTCATATATAGTTACGTCATAGTCACAATATTCATTGCAAATACAAATTTTATCTTGTTGTATTGAAAATCTTTTGCTCTTTGTGTATTCGCGCACCATGTAATATCCAGTCTTTCTCAATTTTCCAAAAAAGCTAGCCCGCATCACGCTTTACAAGCGTCTAGTTGTTTTTGGTTTGTCTTTGATTAGCGGCAATAATGATTGTCGCAAAACCAAAGAAATGTGGCTTATTCACCTATTGGGCACTTACAATCCCCATGGGTTGAATGAACGCTTTGTTTTCAGATAGGTTGTTTATCTTTTGTTCCCTTTTTAGCACCTTTATTGTTCTTTTCTTTTACACTTCCTTTGCTTTTTTTGTTTCCTTTGCTTTTTGTTGTTGTTTACCTGCCTGTCTCGTTACTCTTAGTATATAAACTCACACTATACCTAGTTCCATCTCTTTACTCCGAAAGGATTAACGTCCGAAACGTCAGTAAGTCATTTCACCTACTTTTTTACGGTGTTAAATTTATCTTTGTACACAACTGCATCTCACTGAATAGTTAACCGCTAGTTCCAACCATGTTGAATGAATGCTGTGTTTCAGTTAATATCTTTTGTTGTCGTTTTTAGCACCTCTTTAGTTCTTTTCTCTATCACATCTCTTAGTATTTGATTTCTTTACATCCCGTTGCCATGCCTACCATGCTCATTTTTTTTTGCTACCTTCATGATTGTATAAACGCACTCTAAGCCGAAATATATTACTTAACTTTACCCAACGAAGAATTGAACTTCTGAAATGTCAGTTCGTCTATTTCATCTACCTTTTTACAATGTAACTTATATCGATTGCAAAACTAAGTCTTCTTAGATGGCGGCTACCCTCGGGACACCATTCCCATGCGATTGTTGGGCCCTATAAAACCACGATCACCTGAAGTATAAGTTGTCTACTGCATCCAGAGCTAAAACGGGTAAAGGTATGTATTTCACTTCTAAGTTCATTTCTCCTTTCTATATCATGACCCACTATATGATTTTAAATGTCAAGTTGTTTAAAGCTCGACCAACGATTAGGACTAATCGGGTTTGAACAACATGGTATTGTAAGCCTCGTGCATAGTTGACTCATGTACTCATAAAAATACCGCTGTACAAAATTACGTACTCACAACCACATGCAGCTAGAGGGAAAAGAGTGAAAAGTTTGTAAGTCTATTTGTTTGTAATTTCTTTAGCTATAACTTTAGCTCTTTTGCTTATTTTGCTTATTATCATTTCTTAGCGAATCGTTTATGAACAAGTTGATAATTAAACCTACGAAACGAATGCGAACCGTGATCATAACTGACCCGTCTACTGCACACAGCTTGTTCTTCAGTTGTTTATAGATTTTGACATTGTTAACTGCATTGTTGTCATGATTTATAATCCCTTGTAATTTATACATGCCTTACATGTTTTCAATTTTTGTCATAGGAAAAAGA